CTCATTCTCATCCTCCTCCTCCTCCTCCTCCTCCTCCTCCTCCTCCTCCTCCTCCTTCTCCCGCCCTCCTCGCCGGGTCGAAGAACAATAATGTAATCAACCGAAATTTTTGCCGCTCCGCGCAGATTTCTTGTGTCGGCGCTGGGCCCCCCCTGGCGGCGCCTCCGGCGCTCTTCCTGGCGCGCTCCGCGCGCCGGGGAGGGGGGGCACAGCGCCGACCGAAGAAGTCTGCGCGGTGCTCCAAAAGTTTATGTTTACACCGTTTTTCCTCCTCTGGAAAGGCTGGCCCCCGGGGGTCGGGACCTTTGGGGCCGCGCGACTGAAGATGCCACATCGTCGGATGTCTGGGCACGCAGAAGGTGTCTGTGCGCCACCGCCGTGCCTGGCCAGGGCCACCCTGCGCACTGGGGCGGGGTGCACTCGCCCTCTTGGCCTTGGCCAGGAAGTCTTACACACCATCCTACTACGGTTAAGTCGGGCCTGTCCCTCTGCAGGAGAAACATTCAAAAACAGTCATCACATAGTCTGGGGACGATTTTTTGACTATTTTCTATTTTTTCCATGTACGGTTACTATTTCTTTTTTTCCTCCAAAATCCGCTTGTAGGGGGACATGCCCGACCTAATATTACGGTTAGCGGTTAGCTGACGGTTGGCGTTGTAAAAATAGCATGCAACTTCGATCTCCGCAAAGCCCGCCAGCGCCAACATCGCATAGCGGATTTCGTTCGGAGGATGGGCCCGGAGTGTCTTGGAGAATTTCGTTCTGGATTTCGAGGCGGATTTCGTGCAGATTTTGTTTGGCCAGGAATGATGACTAAAACATGATACCGGAGAAAAGCCCAATCATAATCTTTTTAGGGCTTTAGGGCTATGGAGCTATAAGGCTATAGGGCTAGAAGGCTATGGGGCTACAGGGCTACAGGGCCATGGGGCTGTGGGGCTATTGGGCCACAGGGTTATGGGGCTGTAGGGCTATAGGGCTATAGGGCTATAAGGCTATAGGGCTATTAGGGCTATAGGGCTACAGGGCTATAGGGCTATATAGAGTTACCGGGCACCCAGGCACCCAGGCACCTGGGCACCCAGGCACACGGGCACACGGGCACCCAGGCACCCGGGCACCCGGGCACCCAGGCACCCGGGCACCCGGGCACCCACGGGCACCCAGGCACCCACGGGCACCCGGGCGTGCGGCGAAAGTCGGCGGCAAACCGAACCTAACCATATGAATCCGCTAGGACCCCTACAGAGGCAAGCTCTGATTGGGGAAAATCCACGCGAAATTCACTTCGTTTTTCACTAGTCGTTTCGGGGTCTTGCATTGACAGATATTCACGCTAACATCGGCTGCAGCACGTCTGCAAGGTCGGGAGGCGATGCCCCCGCGAGGGCCCCTTCTGTGCGAGCTGCCCCCCTGCCGGGGCTGCTTCGGCGCACGCTATCCCCAAGGTGGGGGATAGCGTGTAGTAAGCGGGGCGGCAGCGCCACATGGCACACTGATTGTCTTTCCACCCCAAACCGTAGGGCCACGATTCAAGGGTGGAAAAAACCACCCCGACCCCGACAGTTGGCGTGTTCCGAACGGCCCTGGGCGTTTACTGCACAGCTCTGCCCCGTTCGATTCCTTCCCGGGGTGCGTTTGCTAGAGGGCTTCGCTTGTCGAGGTGCTTATGATGGGGTTGGATTTTCTGCTCTCGGCGGATCATCGGCGATGCGGCTCGACGTGGAGCCCGCTTTTCTCCACACCGACGTCGCCGATGCATCGCCGACGTCTCTGATGCATCGGTAATTCTTCGACGATTCGGCGTGATCCTCCGACTCCTTCTACTCCGACCCCATCTGGGAGGCCTCTAATGATGGTCCTGGTCAGGCACGATGGTGGTGTACAGATGCGGTCTGCGGATCCGCCGCCCCCGCCCCCGCCCCCGCCACCACCGCCGCCGCCGCCGGAGCCCCCGCCGTCGCCCCCGCCGCCGCCAGCGGCGGCGCCGCGGCTCGGCGGCCGAGGAAGCGCGCCAGCCGAGGTGCCAGGGCGGCCCTCGACAGAGCGACCATCGACGACGACGACGACGACGACGACGACGACGACGACGACGACGACGACGACGACGACGACGACTTCGACGACGACGACGACTTCGACGACGACGGCGACGACGACGGCGACAACGACGATGTCGACGACGACGGCGACGGCGACGACGACGACGACGGCGGCGACGACGACGACATCGACGACGACGACGACGACGACGACGACGACGACGACGACGACGACGGCGACAACGACGACGACGGCGGCGACGACGACGACGACGGCGACGGCGACGACGGCAACGACAACGACGACGACGACGACGACGACGACGACGACGACGACGACGACGACGACGACGACGACGACGACGGCGGCGCCGACGACGACGACGACGGCGGCGGCGGCGACGACGACCACGGCGGCGACGACGTCGACGACGACGGCGGCGGCGCCGACGACG